TACCAAAGGTCAGGTACTGAGACAGGTTGTCTGTATGCCGAATTACAAGACAGCTGAAGGCTTTAAAGGATGGTCACTTTACCAGTTGAATAACTAATTGACAGACTGGTTTTTATTCTGGTCTTAAAGAGCCCTTATGATGTTTATGAATTCCTTAAATAAATGGGTTCCCCCTCCCCCCCCCAAAAAAAATATTTAAATACCTTCTTAAAATATTTGACAATTACATCTCCCTCACCCTGACTGAACAATCTAGAAACTCTGAATATGCAAATATTGTTTTGAGAATTTTATCAAACTATGGCACTTAAATGAAAAGTCTTGATATATGTGTGGTGAAGGCTTCGGGTTTCCATGTCACACTCTCGCTTAAGTGTCACAAATCCTGCATGTGTGCTCATTAAACTGAGCAGATGAATTTGAAATCAGTCTGTTTATTTCAAACTATGTACGAAAGTCAACTATCTAAGTCAAGACACAACAAGCAAAACATATTCTGGACTGGGCGGTTACTTGTAGATACAATAATTTGTAACAGCATAAGAAAATGTCATATTTGGAGGAGAATCTAACATTTGGGACAAATGCTGAGCCATGTCCTGGCCCCTCTGTCTCCAAGAAGTGCATCTCTGTCATAGAGCTTTCGTGACTTAAAAGCTGACTTAGTAAATATGTAAAACATTCACATCATTTTGTGTAACAAAATGTTTTTATTTCCATTCTTGCTAATGATCTCACCGTGCCTTAGAGTCATCTTGGGACTCCTTGGCTTGTCTCAGCCTCTGCTTTAGCTTTCAGCTGCAGTTTGTGCTGTACACCCTGAGTAGCTTTGTAAAAGTAAAGGTTTGACTTCAGTATGATACATTTTTAGAAGCCCTGCCACATTGCAAAGCTAATGATCTCCGAAAGCTACCTATTTGATGATTTGTGTTTTAGGCAGTGCGCAGCTGATTCTCTGTTACTGTGTTTTAAGATGGACCAAGTTATCTATTAGCCTGAAGGGTCTTAAAGACACGTACGTGGTCTGGTCCAGACATGTCTGACGTGTAAAACCACCACCGTCTTGTGTTTTGTTGTTGCTCCTTAGCTTTTCTACAGTGTTTGTCATGTTTCAGAGTGGCGTTGTTGGCAATAGGCAGTGTAGAGTTTCTGCGGTGGAGCCAGGCAGCATGCTGCAGGTTGTTTACACCCGGACAGACAGAGCAAGCTGTGTGTCTGTTGAGGCCCTGACATCTCAGCTGTCATTACCCTGTCACCGCTCTAATTAAATGGCTAGCTCGCTGGAGAGAGGCGTTTATAAAGATGCCAGAGACTGAGTCGAGCACACACACAAGAGGCTTTCACTTTCATGTCTGACACTTTCTCCTGCCACTGAGGTACATGTGTTGGCAGTTGCAGCGTCAAATTCCCATATCTCCATCCTAGCTGCAGTGCCACTGGAGAGGTCTCTGTCCTTACTTTGAGGAGATGTAAAAATTATCTCTTGTGCAATATTAAATTCCCTTGAATACTTAAAGTGTACCAGAGTGTGCCAGACAACAGACTGGAAGTCACTTATAAGGAACTTTGGATGACATGATGGGGCCTGTTGCTGGTATTAAACATATATTGTTCTTTGAATGTATCTCAGATACATAGATTTCCTTCTGTCTTTACAGCAAACAGCCATCTTGAGCATCCTGACTTTCTGCATCGAGCTGAGACACATCAACCTGGGGAGCTGTGTGAGGGTGAGAATGTACACACAAACACAAAAAGGGTGAAGTCCAAATTAAGCCTGTTAACTACATTAACAGCTAACCACCCGTTTCCTGTTTTGCTTTTTCTTTACTCAGAACTGTCATCATTAGAAATGAAGTTATGCAACATTTGGCAATGAAAGTGCATAAAGACAACGGCTCTTTCAGCCAAAATTTGAATATCCATCTACTGCTAACTCCTAAATGCTGCATGCTGTCATTTCTGTGGGCAAGGTGCCTGCACTGGCTGTTTAGCTGTTAAATTGCATTTTGTTGCTTTCATCTTTGGATAAAAGGATGAAATATGACCAACATTACCTGACACCAAAGAACAATAACAACACAAATCAGTTCCTAAAAGACTATTCCATATTGTTTCTGATGAAGATATTCTCTGTTAGTACTTTGTTCTTTTGCTCTCTTGAGGAAGCAGAGCTATGTGCCACAAGCCAGTCGATACAGCTAATCAGCTTTTTATTATCGCAACATTTCAAAAGTTTGTTCAAAATACACAAGACAGACAATTAGAGGGAAATGACTATTGACTGACTCAATCATTACTTCATTCCCACTCACAGCTTCATTTTCTCAGTCCTGCATAAGATCCTAAAGGCAAATTGTTAAGTCTGTGACTGTATGACATTCCACAGAGGAAGAGTGTAGTAGCTGAAGCAAAGAACACAGAATCTCTTCCTCCTGATATTGTTGCTTACACAGACAGTAACCATGTATAGATCATAACCTCTGAATCAACTGCACTATTCAAGGAGGTTGATGTAGAGTTGCACATTTTAGCATCCATTTTCCAGCAAATGTGGACCCTCCAAAGATCCTCCATAAAGCTTCAAATGAGCCGTTGCTCTGCACACGCTGCACACAGTGCAGAGAGTAAATGGAGTAAATGCTGCCTGTCTCTCGTGCAGATTGACGACTATGATGTTGTGGCCAGTATGCTGGCTGCTCGCTGTCGCTCATTGTGCTCTCTGGACTTGTGGCGCTGCAGAAACCTGACAGATCGAGGCCTGGCTGAGCTCGTCTCAGGCTGCAGGTAAGCAGGTTCAGTGATTGATTGAGTTGTAAAGTAATCCAGCACATGAAACATCTCAGTACACAGTGTAAATACAGTATAAAGACCAGGAAATGGTAGCACCCTTGTATTTGCTAAATCACTACCACATCAGTTACTATCCGTTGTTTAAAAGGAAACCTATATCATCATTAACCTCTAACTCAACAGCAAATCAAGCTGCAGCTGTTAACCACAGTGAAAACAAATATACTGTCTCAGTGAAGGTCTAAATGGGGGTTTGAGTCACCCCAGTTTTCCTGTGTGGTCTGTGGTTGCTCAGGATGTTGGAGGAGCTGGATCTGGGCTGGTGTCCCACACTGCAGAGCAGCACCGGATGTTTCCAGCACCTCGCCCGCAGCCTGCCACGACTACGCAAGCTCTTCCTCACTGCTAACCGCACCGTCTGCGACTCAGACGTAGAGGAACTGGCCACCAGCTGCCCCTCACTGCAACATCTTGACATACTGGGTAAGCATTTTCCTTGCACATGCAGCTTGTGGACACAAACATTTGTCATTTATAAATTATTTGTTAATGGTGGCCATCATCATTTAAATGGAACTGTAGCTGTTCATGTTTTTCATATAAATTTGGCATTGAGCAGAGCTTTACCAAATCTGATCTCAATGCAAACTGAAACAGACCCACAGCAGCTTTCCTCTCGGGACAATGTCAAAGCCACAGAGAATATGCAGAGATTGCTGTATAATTGCTCCATTTTATCACTCCTGCCTTAAGGTAATTTCTCATTGTCCACATCCACAAGGGTACATGTGACGTAAATTTTGTCATCTATCCAAGTTCCCGAGGGTCCACATGGAACCCTCTGCAGAAGTCCACATACAACCCAAAATGTGTGACAGTGCAGACTGTCTGCCCTGCAAGTATGCCACTTGTAACAGGAAAACAAATAGTGCTTAAAACAAATGCTTGGAATAAGGAAAGACAGAAGGACGAGACTCTCCATTGCCGACACCTTTATAAATGATCAATAAAATAGGTGAAATTTAAGTAGTCGTTGCTGGACTTCAGCGGGTCTTTGATTTGTACATGCTTCCCATCGAGGGACCACAAACACAGTTGAAGGTTCTAAATTCTTTAGAAATCCTGTGCTCAAAACACCTCATGAATAATTGCGGTGCTAAAGCTCAATCTGTAATTACCTGTTATGTCCTGTACGTGCGAAGTCACAGTTCTTTTAGAAACATCCACGGGAGCCCTGTGTGTTTTTCTGTGTTTGATATGAGGGACAATGCAACACATACTTATTGTACTATGAAAATAACCACATGTGCGTCCATTGCTGGCCTTTAATGTCCACAATGGTCATGCAGAAACTATGAATTGGCCTATTTTTCTCTTTTCTTTCACCTGACTATCATTACATCAGTCAAAAAGGGACTGTATTAACGAAGCATGGCCATAAGTGCACTTCACTTTTTCATTTTGATGCCTATTCTTTGCTTGACAGTTAAATGTGACATTTCCCCCACATTTATTCATAACCTTGTGAATATACAATGTGAAAGGTACATGTTGGTATGATTATTTCTCATTAATGCCAGTCACTGATTATTTGGCCATTAAAAGTTGTTGACTTTTTGGTAAATATGCCTAGCATTTGTGATATAATGTGTCCATAGGCGGTGTGTGTCTACACCCAGTGTATGGACAAGTGATGTTTTTATGGGATGCCCTGTCCCAAGTTTGCATTTGAGACTCTTTAAAAAAAAAAAACTATTCCAGAGTTAACTGCAAACACAAACCCACATAATCTACTTAATGTCGATATGAATAAAATATTGCTCACTAAGCAAAGTTGCAGCAGCACACCACGGCAGTAATAGCTGTGCACTAACAGTGTAGTTCCAGTTGCGTAAGTTGATGGCTTTGACAGCACAGTGGCATAAGTGTTACTCACCCTAGCTCTGCTGATGTGACAGGTCTTTGGCTATTTTAGACTTATTTTCGTAGTTAGATTGGTCTGGTAGTTATAACATGTGGCAAATAATAAATGCAATGCAGGTTATTTTGATATGGACTCAATTGTATGTAACCGCTGTAAATATTATGAGTGAAATTTATGTATAAGGCACATTTTAAACAAAAGTGTTGAACAACTATAAGTACCATGTTGAAGAGGATTTTTTTTAAATTGAATTTACACAAAAAATTGCAGATGCTGTTATTCTTATAGATTTACAGGGATGTAACACTATTGCATTGGGTAATCGTTCTGTTTTTTTCTGCTAGTGTTATGTTTTTGTAAAGCATCTTTTACAGCGTCTTATTGTTCTTGTTGTGATTCGTCTAACAAACAGGTACACGGTTGGTGAGTGCTGCCTCTCTGAAAAAACTCCTCCAGTCATGTCCTCGACTTCTCCTCCTGGATGTGTCGTTCTGCTCGCAGATAGACATGCGGGTCGTCCAGGAGCTCTCTGTCCTCTTCCCCAATGTGGCCATCAAGAAAAGCTTCACTCAGTGACACAGCATCATCTCATTTCTCACTGCCGAGAGTAGCAAGCGGAGGGAGGTGCTCGCCAGCCGATACTGCCCCAAATTGACTCAGAGGCAGGTCAGATGCTGGAGGAGATTGCAGACCTGCCTTTGCCTGTATCCTGGACAAGATCTTCTTACAGTGAACTGGGACGAGGTGAGGAGGTTCTTTGGATTTACTGACTGAACACAAACAACCACAGACTCCCAGTCACAGGATTTTAAGGCGTGAGACGTTTTTTTTTTTGTTATGTCGTGGACACTTAAAATCAGGGTCGTCGCAGTAAAGCTGTTACATCTTCCCAGAATATGAATCACCACTTACAGTACGTATTGCCAAACAACACATGGAAAAGAAATATGCCTTGGTACTAGTTGCAAGACACAAAGCAACATTTATGAGCAATCCTCTCTTGAACATCTGTTGGAGCTGCGAAATGGGACACAAAAAGTACCTTTACTGGAAATTTCAAAAAGTCACATACTCATGTTAGCTAAAGATCAGGGCATTGTCCGTGTCTTGTCAGAATGTGGAACATGTGTACTGATGTATTAGATGAAGATCATTCTGAAGGCATTCAGGTAGTTTGATTTACTGAGAGGAAATAATACTTGAGGCTGCTGTCTTATCAGGAGCTTTGAAAACAAATGAGTGAATGCAGCCTTATTGCATGCAGCGTACTCTGGACACTGTCATTTCAGGCTTCAATGCAAGTGTCACAGGTTCCTTTGTGTTGCTACAAACTGCTAAATCATACACAAGGCTCTCATGCTGAAGTACCATCAGCTGTCCTTGTACCGAGATTCACTGACTGCATATTTTCATTTACAAAAAAATGTGTGAGGTCTTGTGAAAAAGCAAGCAAAAGCATTTGTTCTAATTTACACATTTGCTATAAATGCAAAAATAGAAATAACACCCAAAGACATCAACACAAAACAGACAGGCTGACTCATCTGAAATAAAAGCACAGAGGAGTAACACAGTTCTTCTCAGACCCTAATCGTCTTAAATCCAAAGATACACAATTTGAATTGATATAAAACCTCTATTTCTGCTCTAATTGTTATTATCAACCACATATGTTTGGCAGAGTCTCACTACATTTTAGACACTTCAGATAGATAGAAAAATGTAATTAGTTGTGGTGTTGAATTAAATCTATGATACAAGACCTGTGTTCAACTAAACGTGAGGCCTTTGTTGGATTAATGCAGAGAAAGTAAACTCATTTGCCTGTTTTTGATCAGTTTCTGTTTAAATCTGCTCCTCAAAGGTCAAGTGACTGATTCTAATTCAATACAGTTTTTTTTTGTTAAACTCAGTGGATATCTCCTCACGTTCTGCTAGATGTTCGTTCTGTATCTGGTGTAATCTGGCGTTCATACACAACCCTGGCTTTGTAAACGGGGAAACAAAGTGTCCCAGACTGAGGGACACAACACGACTGAGTGGGGAAATAGAATATACTTCAGGGGCAGTGGTAGCAAATAACTCTGGCACATGCTATCTAAATATGCTAACTAGCTAAATATCAATAATCTGTCTCCAGAATTACAGACTACACCTTTAACTAAAACAGGGTGTTCCGTTACATCAGTTCTTTGGTATATCGAACGCTTCACTGGCTAAAGCAAAAATTCATTTGTTTAGGTCAGCTAGGCCAGTGTTACAGCACTTGATAACTGAACTGTGTTTGCTTCTGCCTCACAGGTCATTCATTTCATTTGGTTACGATTATCTTGGTCATTTGAAGGAAGTTAAGAGCGTTTGGCTTTTCGGATATGGATGCTGGTTTTGTATCCAAACTAAATAAGGAAGTTTGAAAGTCACTGTTTGTGCATTGCTTTCTTGATGTGCTTTTCCTGCCACTGCTGTTAGACTACAGTCGAGCACTTGCACGCTAAAGTGAAGTTCCACTGTTGAGGAGTACTGTAAATCAAGCTGGTCAAGGTGTGCTAAAATGACACGTTGTATTTACTATATGTGACCTCAGTATTTGTCCTCAAACTCAGGGGTTATGTATATCTTATTACCATTATGGATATTGTTTTTTTTTGTTTTTTTTAAATATGTTTTACTCCGGAAACCAGCACAACGGACGTTTTTACGTAAAACACCACCAGACTGAATCAGCTTTGAGGTTGCCTGCCTTTGGTGTTGCTCTTAAACAACAAACACACACGACACAAACGATCAGTTAGCACTGATGTAACTGAGACAAAAAATAGAGGTTTCACTGGGTGTTGCAGTAATTGTATGATTGTGAAAAAATATAGCTGTTGCTGATTATTTAATTTTTGTAATATATGAGGAGGTGGTTGTGGTGTGGCAGAAGTGCTTGAAAAGCATTTCTTTTCTTTTCTTTTTTTGAAAAAAAAACACTTGGAAGTTTTCTTTGAAGCACATGCTACTAGTCAATATTTGTGCCTTATACTCCTGTTTGAATGTGGTGTGACGTCCAAGTGCTATAGAGTGTAGTGAAGTGCTTTGCTTTTTCAACCAAAGTAATACACAATAACCTGGTCATCAGTCTCACAACTATATCTGACCAGTTTATATGCCATATACTGTATATCAGCCATCTTAATTAATATGCAAAATTATATTTATTTATATTTCCCTCTTTAAAAAATGTTATTTATACTCACTACCCATAGAAATAGCAATATACAATTACAATGGGAAATATCTTGTTTTTGTTTTTTTGTTCCATATTTAGCCTAGCTTAGCACAAAGAATGGATGCCCGTCTTTAGCCCACTGTTATTTATGTGTTGTATGTTATTTATTGGAGAGATGCTGGAGTAAGATGTAAAAAGAGGATCCTTTAGTTTTAAAAGCGGCTTGCTTGTTAAATGTTACTTACCAGTCGGACTCACCATTTCCACTTCTACTTTCTGAATCACAGTCCTAAAAATCCCCTTCACTACAGGAAACAACAACACACTGAAAATGTCAAGCTTAATCAAATTTTCCACCAAAACAGTCCCCCCCCCCCATCAACACTGTGACAACGGGTCTGGCTAGTCAAGACTACCTACCTAACATGAAGCATCACAGCAGTTGTGTTCATAGAGTGGGATTACCAGGCAGGTTGTGTACTCGACTCTGTGAGCTGTGAAGCTGCTTGAATATTTATTTTTGTGTTTAATGGCACAGTGCAGGCAAGAAGTGACGGCGTCAATATTTTTTCTTTATATATTGGAATTTTTTTATTTTTTTTTAAATGGGAATGACTTTAGGTTCTGCAATTACAAAGTTGTTGTTGTTTTTTTTTTTTAAATCCTGGCTTGCTGTGGTGTTAGAAGCTTAACTAATCCTTTCTGTGTGCTAAGCTAGGCTAAACATGCTCCAGACCAGTCCTCCTACTGGTTCCCCAGACTTCAAATAGATTTCAATCTTCCTATCTGCCAGTCTTTGGAAAAGCCCAAAATGTTAAACTGTTCCTTTAAAACCTACCCACAGAATGGGTGTGGTAGCACATGATGCAAATGTTGCTTCAGTTGCAGCTCAGAACAATCGTATTATAGCTGGTTGACTGGAAGCCAAGGAGTGCAAATATCACATTTGCTTGGCCCACCCAAATCCAGGCTGTAATTTCAAGTACATTTTAATGTATAATAATTACATCACTAATGACTATAGCAACACAATTACAACACTGACAATGTATACTGTGTACAGCATTCATGTGTTAAAGCAAACCTTTTAAAAATGAACACCAGTCTTACATTGTTTGACCAGTGTAGCAGGTTAGTTCAACACTTGTATTTTGTCCCTGCCTTGAGTGACTGCGGTGTCCCTGCTTTTCTGTAATGAATACGCATTCTGTCTTCTTCCACTCTGGATGTGTGATCAACTTTTGTGCCATGCACTGGTAGGACACGTGGCAACGCTCCCTGTGCTGCAGTGCGAAAAGACGCCGTTGTGTGAAAAGATTGTGCCTCTGTCATGATGAAACTGGGTGCTTCACTTTCACCAGGTTTTAAATAAACTGAAGGCTGATGACTGATGCAGTGTGGCTCCTTTGATTCTCGCAGTCTTTGTTTCGGTCCTGTAGGGACACAGATATTAGGAGGAATCAGACTGTAGAACAAAGTGGCTACAAGGCTGCAAAGGCATTAACGCACTCATATTCCATTTTCCCTTATTCTTCAGCTTCAGTGAGCAGTACACCATCACTGCCAAAACAAATGTAAATTGTGTCACTGTGCCATGCTGGGGCTTCATAAGTAGAGTCATGAAAGTGTGATTGGGAGAAAAGTAGGCTCGTCTACTGAATCCACAACAACTAGCAAAGCCATTAGTCAGGATGAGTGACTGGGTAGTCGTGGCGGAATGATCCTTTTTGCCTTAACCCTCTGCCATTTTACAGTCTATTAATACCACAGGGAGAAGTGACATTAGCTTGTCTTCTTAACGGCCTTTTAATGAATTGTTTATGCCTGGTTTAATGATGTATATTGTGGCCCTGTAATGTGCCCTAATGACGGAGAACGAGGCGGCCTCGGCTGAAGTATTAATTTGGACTGCCTCCCCAATGATTATTCCTCAGCCACTAACACCACCGCCGCTGCCGCCGCCGCCGCTGTACGTGCGAGTGTGGATGCAAACGTGATTCATGGAGGCTTTCCGCTCTGCGCTTCGGCTTGATTTCTTGCTGTCATGCTCCTCTATGAGGCTGATATATCCAGGGGGGATCCACAGCAATTAGTTCAGCTTTTTATTTGTCTTTCAACAGCTTACAGATGTAGCTTGATGAATCTGCAGGGGGAATATATGGATGGAAATATTGTTCCTGAATAATAAATCCCAGTGTTAAAATGTAAAAGGTGTTGGGGGGGAAGGGGGGGAAGGGCCTGGAAGGGGGGTGAGTGGCACAAGGATGCCCTGCGCCTGCTTTGTTTCTCGCTTCTGTCTATCTGCAAACCGCATGAGTGACACAAGAGCATACCTTGACAACATGGCAGCAGAAATGGTGATCTCTTGCTGTGGTGTGCCTCCGCTGAGCCGTCCTCAGGCTGGGACTCGACAGGCCTCAGACCTGCCTGAGGGAGGCCTTACTGTGATACCCATCATTATGTGGCTTGGTGTTCCATCTCTAGTTTCCCGGCTTAGACTTATAATGAAGACATCCCTGACAATCCTCGCTGCTGCGTCTGAAGCTTATTATTTTTGTTGTGTTTTTAAGAATATCGAGAATGTCAGCGCTCTGTTCCTTAAATCCATCTAAGTGCGGAGATCCATAGGCAGCTTTTCAAGCAGCAGGGATGCAGTGTTCCTTTAGCCATGTCTAAATCCATTTGTACGTGTTGTCAAACCGCGGTACCTCAGCGCAATTACTGTAAACAAGTGACACCACACAGAGACTATTCAGAGACCTGATCTGATGCTGGTTGAAGAGTGGCTTGTGTTTCTCAAAATTGAGATTGTTTGTCTCATAAAACCCACTGCGTCCTGTTACAGCCAGCCTTTGTTTGCTGTTTTCCAGAGAACTGTTTTTCTGTCAGCACAAATTATTTGCCTCCTTGCAGCCCCTCGGTGCAGGTTACGGCTTCAGAGTGGACGAGACTCACAAGGGTGAGTTTTCCTTCCAAGGCCGTTTCCTTTAAAGCATTTTAGGGAGCCTGAAATATTATTTTCTTATCCTTCTAATTATCATGTGACCCATCAGATTTATCTCTGGACCCCTTGTTCCAAAAGAACATCACTTGTTTTTTGTTTGGTACCATAAAGTGATCCAGCAGATTTTTCACCAACTCTGAAACAGTAGCAGAGGTAATTAAAAATACATATTTGCGTTATTAAAAAAAGAGTATGCAGGCCTTAAAGCTTTATTTCAGTGAATAGAACCAGAATGGAATAAAAGTATGTGTGTGAATCTACAGAATACAGTCTAGCTATGGAGTCTTGGTTTAAATTTCTAAATGTTAATTAAATAGAAAATGAAAAACAAGAGAAGCACTTTATTTGCACTACAGTTGTATACAGTCAGTAGACTTTATGAACAACATTTTCTTATGTTCGACATCATTTTAAATTTAACAGTGTTCCCAAATGAGTGTTTGTAATATTGTAGAATTTAAGATGACTATTGTTGTATTTTTTTTATTCTTTAAATTTAAATGTGACGCCTAATTGGTGAAAAAGCGGCCCTTATATTTTTGACTATGTTTGACCTCTTACTGGCTTTTTAATGATAACAAAACAGGGATACGATTGGAAAAGGCAACAGGGCCTCAGAGCCAGAGGAGCCCCACGGTTAGTTTTTGCAGTTTTATCAGATATGGTTAGTAACTTTGCATTAGTATCTGTCCTTGTGTTAGATTCTAGTTTTAGAATCACGATTCATTTTATTCGTCCTCCTCATAAATAGAGGCCTGTTTAACCTAATCCCTACAAAATCAGACATTTTGTTTCAGCACAGGAGGTCTAGTTGCACGAGGTATCATAGGCCGTAGGTCAGCGAGGGCCAACAGCGACTCTAAATCAGGCTCCTCCTGCCATCAGGTGGAGATTATCTTGTCACACTGAGACTTTAAGTTATTTTTTTTATTCCCATCTTTGATTTTGTAAACTTCAGCTGCCCATCTGAAGCTCCAGCCTCAAACGGAGCGACTCCTGGGGCGTTTTCTTTACAAAAGGGGGCCCGCCTCAGACCGCTGTATGTATGAGATGGCCTCGCTGAGGGACGAGCATGTTTCACAAACAGGCCGAGCAATTATAGCCCGAATAATTATGCGCTGAAGGGGAGACACGATTCGCCCCGCTGATCAGCAAAGTTCATGTGAAGTTATAATTAAACAATAACTCGTTTACAAATGAACGCACACGCGCATTTGTGTACTTAAGTGTGCAAAGTGTAATTAGCTGCGATGCATCTGAGTGAGACTGAACAACAACAATGTCAAATGGTGGAATTATGTTCAGCTCGTGAGCTTGTATCACTGCTATCTGTGTGTGTGTGTGTGTGTGTGTGTGTGTGTGAGAGAGGGGGGAGGAGAGGGAGGCCGAGGAGGAGGAGGAGGAGGTGTGAGCAAAGAGAAAGACAGATTTGAATGAGTGATTGATGCAGAGGGCTGATTCATCTTCACACGATTCAGAGATGGACATGATGCTTGACAGGGAAACTTTGTACAAAGACATTAAATGAAGATCACTGAGGGGGGGAGTAACAAAAACATTCATTTTCAATAGTAATTAGATCCTCGGAAATCATATTGAAACATTATGTTGTTACACACAATGTTAAATTACATTATGTGATCAGAGTAAGATTATCTATTATTGCTCCACATTTGTCCAATCGCACTTTCATTTGTCACTCTGTCCAACAAGTTAGCGAAACCACCGATTGCAAATACTTTTCAGTGACAGAGCTGAATGTGCTGAGTCAGTGTTCCTCCTTTAATCACATCTCGACACCAGAAAGTGAACTGTATGTCCCACTTCATTACCTTCTGCTGGAGGCCCTGCAGCTGCACGCACACACACAAAAGAAGCAAAGCAGTGGATGGACTTCAAAATAAAACAGGTTTTTATGCACACATGAGGCTTTTTTTTTTTAATGACAGGGAGATGAGAAGGAAAGGTGATACGGTGATCATAATAACCTGATGAATATGTGTGTAAAAGACACCTCAAATTTGAGCTGGCACCCTGCATGATGGTACCCGCCTGCCCGAACAGGCTTCTGCAGGCTTTTCACACTCAGCTTGTAGTTTTGATTTTAGCACAGTGAGCACAAATCTTCAAGGCGGGGACGCAGAGTTTGGCAAAAAGTCATAAAAGCAGCGTATGGGTTTGTGCCATTATCTTGCCAGGACAACTAGACGTCTTTGTGACATGTCAAATGACCTGTTGCTTGTTTTCTCAGACCAAAACTCACAAGAAATTGAATGAGCAACGATGTAAAACTGATCAAAGGTCTCGCTGTATTTAAGGACCCCAAAAACCAATGCTGGCCTTATTCCAGGGACTTAACACTCTTAGCCTGCTTGTGGTGGACGTCTTATTAGTAATATTAGTTTTTTTGGCTCTAGTTTTGGAGGACTGTCTGGGCAGAATATTTATCTACCCAGCGATCAGCTGAGATGCAGATTAATGATAAAGATGTTACCAAGCCACGGATGCCCTGATCATGGACAGTTTCATTGCATATTTGTACAAATGATTGTATCACCAGGATCATTCTTTGCAAAAGTGATCATTAGGTGACTCCAGGGTGAATATTGACCCAAATACGTTAAGTTTATCTGACTTTGATTTACTCACTACCTGCTTCACAGAAGATAATCACTTTGAAGCCAAAACTCAGACTTCTAAAAAAAAAAGTCATTCATTTTTATGCATGTTTCAAAATATTTAATATATATAAAAAACACTTTTTACACAAGAGACACGTGTCTGTTTTATTCGTTGACTTAAACAGAGAGAAATCTGTGTACGTTATTCAAAGTTTTATCTTTCTGGAGAAACATTTTTTTACCAAATGCGAAACTGTAAATTTAGTTTGTTAAACTAATGATCAAATTAATTGTTTTCTCTTGATGGAAATCATTTAATTGATAAATCGTTGAATAGATAAAATGAAAACATGAACATTTTCCTGTAGAATAGTCCTAAAATATTCCTGTATAAGCCCTAAAAGAACTGACTCAGGAAACAGGTAGAAATCTTCTGATCTTTTTGAATTTTAAATGAGTCGGACTGTAAACCTCTACTGTGTCTTTCACTGAAATATTTCCACATCAGCTCCCCCTGAAACCACAAAGCAGCCATAACAGCCCCACATTCCATATTTCTGCAGTTGGATAACAACATATTTGAGTCCATCCCTTTTTCGTTGACCCCCTTCCTGACTCCACAACAACAGAATGACAAGACAGCTTGGACTCACCCTCCGGGTCACGCCGCTGTCGCTAGATGGCGCTACAGCACCGACTATCCAGGCTTCAGTCTGTCTGTCTGTGTCTCTCCACAGCTCAGCCGCTTTATTTTCTTCCCTGGGAGCCTAATGGGAAATTTCAAGTCACCTAAATAAAAAGGAAGGTGTAATTAACGCGACGCGCTATTAATTGTATCTGCTAGAGAGCGGATGAAGGGCACAAGGGCGCGCTTTTTTTTTTCTTTTCTTTTTTTTTTAAATACTGGGCTCCACAAAAGTCTGCTTCAAATATCAGAGAGAGAGATTTCTTTCTGTCTGGGTGTCAGTCATGCCAGGCGGCCACATGGCAGGTCAAACGGCGGCTGATGATGATGAGGAGGATGAGGATGATGAGGATGCAGAGAGGGACATCTTTTCTATTTCCTCCTTCTGCATCAGCACCAAAACAACAACGTGATCCTGATGCGCTGTCTGCCACCACACAGGATAACACCGGCTCTGCTCACTATCCACATACTACATACTGGCTTTGATTAAAAACAGCCCCTAAAAAAAAAAATCACTTTTGAAGAAGAACCCTCAGACTTTAGTAGACATCTGCGTTGTTAGATGGAAATTACAGAATGGGAAAACGACACTTCCTCTTCTTCTTTTTTTTTTTTTTTTTATATCATTACGCAAATATTCATATAAGAAATTCTAAGCACGTGGCTGGATGCATGAAAAAAGGTTTGCTATTATTTGTAATTGTTATTGTTGTTCTCATCAGGTTCATTGGACAACAGCATCACTGACTGATCAGATATTGATTCCTAATTGATTCCCAGTAATGCTGAGGGGAGGAAAACCTCCCTCATTCTGCAAACATCAGATCAGGCAAGAATAGAATTGTTTTGATTGTAAGAGACACAGAAGGCAGCGTGTTTTCTTACATATTTCTTCTTTTTTTTTTAAGGAATAAGTGAAACGGCAGCTTTACATTTAGGCTGTCAGGTAAAAGCCAGATTTTTTCTTTTTCTTTTTTTTGTACAGATGCTCATACAAAAATCACACCATAGATCCCTATGGGACTATATGAGAGAAATGTCATACTGGGGGGAATAAGAAAATACCATCAGGGTCACCACTGGCAGCATCACTGCCACATTAAGAGTCTGTGAAAAAACTATTATTTGTTGCTTTTTTTTTTTTTCTTTACTTCATGGATCCGGAAGTTTCGTTTTGATCGAGGTGTCTCAGGGACAAATTTAAAGCTAGTAAATTTAAAATAATAATATTTAAGAAAACAAAAACCAAAACAGATGATGCGTTTAAAGATAGTTTCTTTTAACCGTCTCTTTAAAGGGCTCCATTTTGCCAAGAAATGTCCAAAAGTTTTAGTTTTCTGAAATCAATTAATGATAATAATAACAGTTGTGGGGTTTTTTTTGTGGCTGTCACAGCAGAAGATGGTAAAAACAACTATAATCCTACTTTGGATTTCCATGTGTGATGGTGTCCACATGAGTTCTGAAGTCCACACAATTTAAAATAACAGTGAAACCTTTAATATCACCAATCTAGAGCCGTTCCAACCCCTCAAAAGGGCCACTTTCTGGTCCTCGGACCCCACTTTGGGAACCCCCCTACCCTCCCTTAACTAATTTAACCCTAGATAGGAGCTGTGTTTTTTTTCTTCTCTCTTTTCCCCCAGTCAAAGCCAGTTCATTTAAAAGCAGCCCTGAGGCAGAAAACAACACATCATCGGCTCACAATCTTCCATTCATCAACCCTGATTTTCTCTCAGCCATTAATTCCACTCAAACGAATGGGCTCAAAGCAAGAAGCAGATTTTTTTTCTTCTTCTTCTTCTTCTTCTTTTTTTTTTTGTTAACATCCCAGCTGTCAAGCAGATAGTGAACTCACTGCAGGAGCATTTCTGACGTGCAGAATTATATGTTAAAATAAAAAATAAATACATTTAGCCTCGACGTTTGGAAAAAAGCTGTTTAATATCAACCCCATTATTTAAAAATGTGCAAGTCCGTTGTTCATGTGTAAAGTGATGCAACACCTGCAGGCGTCCATCACCTCTACGTTATATCTACCCCAAGTTCATCCAGTGAATGTGACATAGCCTATAACATCCCTCCCCCCCAACCCACCCCCTCCCAAAAACAAACAAACATAAAAATAGAAAATAAATAAAACAACAAAAAGAGAAACTGGCTTAACAAGCAATTAAACAGAAGAAGAAAACAAAAAAAAGACAGCGTTGGATTGCTACAGGTCTACATCCCCACAACTTGAATTTCCAGTGAATTATGACTTGGATCGATTCCTTAAAGCTACTGAGGAAAGAATTTCAATGCCATGATCGTTTCTGCTCGTTGCATCCAGCAGGAGAAAGCAGAAAGTGGTGGAGGAAAAATAACATTAACAATAATAACAATATAATAATATTAAAAAGCTGTTTCCACATGAGAGGAGAGAGAGAGAGAGAGAGAGAGAGAGAAAATAAATCCCTGGTTTTGTGTCTTTGCATAAAACAAAAAGCAAGCTACTGTACGGAGAGAAAGAAAAAAGATGTATATACATTGAGCTGTGACGGTTCCAGGCTGTAACAATCCCGCTGAAAAGTAAGAGAAACAACAAAACAAAAAAACGAACCTGTCTTCCCCCTCCCTTCCCACTACAAAACCTTCTTCAGTGTCATTTCATATATATCTCGCCCTTTGTCATCTATAAAAATCCATCGCAGAATAAATTACAATCTCATTAACAAAACTAAAAAAATAAAATAAAATGTCTAATTCCCCCCCTCCACAACAAAGAAAAAAAATTAGACGAACAAAATGGCTGAAATTAAATGCATGGCAACGAGCTCACAAATTAAACAACACCTTGTGAATAATAATATTATTAATAATGACAATAAAAATAATTTTGATCATATGCTGCAATTTTTTTTGGAATGCAACTAAAATGTGTGTTTTTTTTTGGGAGGAAATGTAAAAAGGCCGTATTATTATGATGTTTCTCTCCAAACACATTAACCGTGAGGATATCTTTATTTTTATCCTCTCAGCTCTGATTCATTTGTGGACAATTTTTCTGCCTTTTTTTCTTCTAATCGATTAATTTGAAATCAGTCTTTAAAGCACTCAATTCTGATTGGAAACACAATCAATTGTAATTTCAGAGCGGACGCCAAATGGCGACAACAAAACTCCATAGACAAATTAAACAAATTAAACTTTCAATTCAATTAAAAAAAAAAAGAGAGACTCAAAATAAAAACGCGCCACAGAAAGTATCTAAATTGTAAATGAGCATAATTTCGGCAACAAAATAAAGAACGTTGAACAGCACAAATACAAGGCAGTAGGTAGGCTATGGAGACTGGATACTCAACCTGCTGGATTTTGAAAACATCAATCCCAAAAAAAAAAAAAAAGTGCCCCAGTGAAGAAAGAAAGAAAGCAAAAAAATAAAGAAAAGGAATGAAGCCATGACTTTTAAAGTTATACAATATTTACAAAAGTGGATCCAAATGTTCTGTGAGAGTTGCTGCCATCATAATTTTTTGTCCTTTTTTTTTCTTTTTTCTTTTGTAGAGATCTGTGTATCTAGAGCCCATCCTGTTGTGGAAAAGTGCCATATAATCCAATCAATCGCCACGGAGTCTCTTCCTGGAGCTGGGAGACGCTCTGAGGGGGGAAATAATATTATTTAACGCTCGTTGTGTGGAAAAAATACTGGACTTGTTGTTTATACTGCTGGTTGACTCGTGATAGAGGTCATACTCTTATTTTAATTATTATTTGCCACATTACTGCATTCAGGCCAATTGTTGGAGAGTTCAGCCAATGAGCTGTACGTAATAATAATAATAATAATAATAATAATAATAATAATCATGTGTGATAATAATAAGAACTAAATCCTGACCTCAGTGCTCACAGGATAAACCAGAGCTGGACGGCCTGCAGCCTCCCAGCAGCGGTTTGAGCGCAGAGCGGCTGACAGATGGGACTCAGGCGATGCTCACCCTCAGCTGGACTCCACCGGACTGACTGGGGGCTGCAGCCTTTCCCGGCCTCCAGTTTACTCCATTAACGCAGCTCCTTTGACCCCCCTCCACTGCACCACCCACGCACCCTTCACTGCTGGACGCACAATTTGGGAGCTACAAAACTAAAACGCCTTTGCTTTCCATTTTACGCACAGCAAAAAAAACAAAAAAGGAAAAAACTAAAAAACAAAACAAAACAAAAAACGTTGGATTTAATATAAAAGTGGCGAATGGAAACCATTCATCTATGCTTTTCGTCTAAAAACCAAGTACCCTCCTTCCCCTCCCTCCTTTTTTTTTCGTCAAGTATAATTTCAATACACAATAGGGGCTACACCTTGAAACTGCGTCGACTGGAGTCACAGTGCTGGGCATGTATCCTCGGAGAACACAACACAGGCTTATGTTCCTTTAGCTCAGGGAAAAAATGTCCTGTCCTCCCCTCACTCTTTTTCCATTTCTCAGATATTCGCTGCAGATATTGTGTAAGTACTCACTGCAATCTATTATACATAAAACACCCACTATATCGTCTCATAGTCCAGTGATTTATATATAACCTTGGGGGATAAATAAAAAGGATAAACAAGTCCTGGAGGAGCGGTCCAGCAGAGTTCATTGGACCGGGGTCTGGACCCCGTGGTGCGGCGGCGTGTCCCCGTACACATCCTCGCTCCCCGGCAGCGCTCCTCCGGGAGGGGTCATGCGTTTCTCCTTCTGTCTCCTGTTACAAAACCAAACCCTCACCACTTCTTTCTCCAGGTGCAGACTGTCCGCCAGGGTGATTATTTCCGACGCTGCCGGTTTAGGGCACTTCAAAAAATGGCTCTCCAAAGCTCCTTTTACGCTTACCTCGATTGAAGTCCGTTTTTTTCTTTTCCTCCCCTGCGCCGCTATTTTGTCCAGGCTGGTCGGGCTGCCCGAGGTGGAGTCCGCCTCCTCCAGCCACTTGTTCAACAGAGGCTTCAGCTTGCACATGTTTTTGAAGCTGAGCTGCAGGGCCTCAAACCTGCATATGGTGGTTTGGGAAAACACATTTCCGTACAGGGTCCCCAGGGCGAGTCCCACGTCCGCCTGCGTGAAGCCCAGCTTGATCCTCCGCTGTTTGAACTGTTTGGCGAACTGTTCCAGGTCGTCCGAGGTCGGCGTATCCTCGTCCGAGTGGTCGTGGTGGCTCTGCGGCCGGTGCTGGTGCTGATGCTGGGACGGAGGGTGGCCGTGTTCGCTGAGATGCGGGCTGTGGTGGTCGTCATGACTGTCCCTCAGGTTGTGGTGGTGCATCCCCTGCCCGCTGCCCGGGATCAGCCCGTTGACGCTGAAGCCCGGCTGGGAGTAAATAAGGCTTTGGCCGTTCGTCGTCGCCATGCTCGGTATGTGCGCCGCCGTGGTGGTTCTCCACGCCCGGCCGTCGTGGTGGTTCCCGTGCGTCTGGTGCACCAGGTGCGGCGGCCGTGACTGGTGCTGCAGGTTGCTGCTGGAATTGTGCATCTCGTCCCGGGCGCCCTGCACCGCGGGTTTGATATCCTGCTCTGTGCCGAGCGGGCTGGAGGACCACGGGGCTCCCTCTCCGTGGGACAGCGCCGTGATCCACTGGTGTGCGTGGCTGAGCGTGTGGCTGTTGCTCTGCAGCGGGTAGTCGCTCTGCAACAGGCTCTGCGCGTCCCGGTACGCCGTGGCTTGCTGCATGCTGCCGGGCTCCGAGTGCACGATGGATGCGCTGGAGGTGAGGATGTTGTAGTGGTTAGACGCTGCGGTCGCCATGACTCTCGGAGCCGGACTGGTCGCTCTTATTAAAGGAACCTCGCATTTGACAGATCCTCTCCTGCCCACAGGCGGCTCCCAGGCGCTCTGCCAAGAGGACGCCGAGGCGCACCTGGACTCCGCCCCGCCCCCGCCGCTCATTGGACGTCGGAGGATGATGGACGTGGTTACCAGGGGCAACGGCGCACCGATTGGCTGCGCGCAAGTCTCAACTAACACTACTCTCTTTGTTGGAGAGGTGCAAGTTGAGGCTCCCGTGGAAGCGGAGAGCCGGAGTGCAGCATGGAGAGACGGAGCACCGGGATCAGCAGTGCAACTGTAAGATACAGTTGATTTACTTTGATAATCATGTTCTATCCAGACTCAGTGAATGTAGTCTAGTTCCAGGAGACCAGGATCTCCTCTAATGGGAGGAATATAAAAGCGCTCTAGTTGCTGATATACAGTCGTTTATTTAGTTAGACTTTAGATGTAGTTATTATTGTTGACTGCAATTTTTGCGCACATTCATGCTATTAAATGTTGTCACTGGAAACGTGCGTGCAACATCCCGGTTTGATAAGAAACTTTTTCCAGTGCAACAGAAAGAACTAGATTACAGATAACATAGAGGGGTAATCAAACGATCTGCACATACATAATATCACAGGTTGCACATGTAAAAGAAAATGTGAATGTTTAGTGCTGCACCATTTCTGCTGAGACGTTTGTAGGTGCATGTTTGTTAACGCGTCTGTATGGTTCGTGCAGTGTTGTCCTCGTTATTTAGATAAATATATCAGAATGAAAGCGTTGTTTCTTACTGAGAATGATTACAAATATTTATTACATTTCAATCAAGCGTTACTTTGAAGTTCTTACATCAGTTTAACCATGGCTTGCACTGAAAATTTAATTCACAATTGACAAGTTTAATTTCTAAATTTAAATATCTGGCAAAAGAAAAAAAAAAAAAAGCTCAGACACTTTTCAATCAAATCAGTTTTATTTAAAAAAAATCTTGTCACAAAATCTTTTTATATTAGATTCTATTGCAAAATTGCAGGCTGATGTGTGTTTAGAATATCCAGGGAAAGCCTTCATCGTTTCTGTCTATCTGAAATTTGAACACCTAGTCTGGCTGCTGGCATCAGTTTAAAATGACTTTTTTTTCCCATTGTTGTTAATGTGTAGATGAGTGCTACAAACCACTGCTATAATGACAGAGTGATCTGCACTTTCTGTGATTAATGCTTGTAAAAATGTAGACTAGTGTATTCTTTCACAACCGCAGACTTGTAAATGCAGATGTCGGTCAGTTGTTTAAAACTTTTAACAGCCCATAAAGTAAACAGATCAACTTTTGTGTCCAACCAGGCTGTAAAGTGAATTTTACAAGTTCTCTTTGGTGGGAGGGGCTCCACACAGAGAAAAAGGAGGGTCCCCAGATTGAAGTTGAGGTTCTATATATAGTCTGAGTTACTTACAGGAATTTATTGAATTTTTAAAATCTTAAAATAATGTTTATCCAAGTGCTGCTCTACTAAATGTAGTTGGAAGGATTTCATGCGCCTCTAAATGGTTGTTTGCAGCACTGTAGAGGATCTATGTGAGACCATTAGAGCCTGGTGCAACAGTACTGAGGGGCTTCCAGGATTCTTTACATCACCAGAAGAGATTTAGAAATTATTTTTTCAGGTCTTATAGAGAACTATTACAGAGTTAATAGTGTGTGAAAAGCTTCTCCAGCTCCTCATCATCCACTAAAGTGAAGATAGACAGAAGTGAAGAGGAGGATTAAGTCCAAACTCAGGCCTCCAGTCCAGGGGCAGGGAGGGCAGGTTTCCATCCCATCCCAGCTGTCGTTCCCCTCGGTGTCAGCTTCAGGGACCAGGACTTTGTCCAGAGAGGGGACATTCCTGGCCGACTGCTGCTGGTTGCCATAGGGAGAGGTAAATGAAACAACAGCAGTCGCGTCGCTGCTGCTCCCCCCTGTTCCTGGACTATCTAAAGGCCTCTATTTAGAGAGGCTCTCTGCTACGGGGACAAAGCCTTCGCAGGGATAAAGGAGGGAGGAGTAAAGAGCGCAGGGCCCTGAGAGAGAGAAAGGGCTAGAAAAACTGAAAAAGATGAAAGAGATTATGTCTGTTCTCAAAACTGCTCCTCACTCTCCAGTGAGATAAAGCAAACTGTGCAACAACAACAACAACAAAAATCACAAACAAAACTTCTACATTTTTTGGGCAGAGGAATGTTTAAACTTTCTAACTTTTGAAGCAGTGTCTTAATTCTGTATAATAGAAGGCACTAATATTTTCTACTGTATATATGCAATTTAAAAAGCACCTTTGGTTAGTCTATGGCCTACAACAATTCACAGTGGCCACAAATTAAACCAATAAATCAGCACAGACAGTTCTTCAATATCCACAATTTATAACTTTCAAACTATGCAAATGACTGAAACTGTAATTAAACATTTTATTTAATAACTTGGGCCCGCAGGAAAATTAAAAGGCAATATAAAAAGCAATTATCAAAGAAATATTTTCACTCAAAAAATATTCAAACTGTGCAGTGAAAACACAAAAGTCTACATGGTGAATATTCACACTCACAAATCATTCTCGGTGAGGTAAATTTATTCAAAAAAGTTCACACAAGGACACATGTCATGTGTATAGACTAAGGTCTGTGAACAATGCAGGGGCGTGTAACAAAGGCCAAGTGCTAATTGCAAAATGTCTGTTCTGTATGACCTGGTTTGGATTTTCAATTCATATGCTGATTTAAAGTTGTGCTACAACTTTTTCTTTTTGCTTTGATGCTGCTTTACTGGTCAAAGCAGGTATTTTTTTTAGTCTTTGAAGCTACAAAACAGGATAAAAAATGAAATACAATTATCTTAAAAGAAATTTAAAGCTTTAAATTGTATATTAAATGCATAGTTTGCTATATCCATCCTCTAAAGGCACAATGTGTAACCAAAATGTACAAAACGTTTAAATATAACAGTGGAAATTGCCATCACTTGTAATTACAAGACAAGCATTTTACTGCATGGATAAAAAGTACACAACAACTGTTGACATAAGTAATACTTGTACACAGCAGTGCAAACCAGGCGATGATGATCAAGGCAGAAACACACACAAAATGCTCATATTCCATGTAGAACTCAAGCTCTTCAATTAAGTATTAGTGATTAGGCCTTTAATGGATCTCATTTCATAGACTAATAATCCTTTATAGATGTGAATCCAGCTGCACTTAGAGCACATGAAGCCGCCAGGATTCAAGTCATACCAGGAAAAGTTTCCAGGCACGGCTCAGTAATTCATTCTGGTAATATTGAACATTATTGTGGCGTAACATTGAAATCGGCCAAATCAAAAGAACATTGTGGTAATTAGGCTGTAATTCAAGGAATTACCACATCGCCACACAGGCTTAAATAGTCGTGTTGGGAGAAACGCAAAGCACATTATTTTAATGGTGTAATATGCAAACTATGGCTCGTTTCAATTACATGGCTTAACAATGCATAAATGATGCGAGCCTTGTTATTTGGACTGCAGGGTCCGCAGTTATTCAATCACTCAGAGGGGGCAATGTTAGGGGCCACGCTGCCTCCTCTCGTACACTAAAACCCAGTGCTGAGCAGTGAGGGCCGCTGCCAAACTACATTTAAGGGAATAAAAATGAACAGTAGAGAATGTAAGCGTTAAATTAACAGTAGGATAATTATATGACCCGTGTGCTGTAAAGATTCAATTTCTAACGCTCTAATTAGGCGACTGTCTCCCCATACATCAGCTCACATCCCTCTGCCAATTTCTCACCAGAAAGCGTCCTGTGAGCGGAAATAATTAGATTTTATTAAGACATGGCTCATCTAATAAAGAAAATCAAAGGAGGGGCTGGTTAAATATGATATGTTTTTAAAATCACTGATTGTTCCACATGCTCTGTCCACTGAGTCCTATTTAAAGACGAGGACAGTTGGGTCCAAACCGGCATCTGACTGTGAAGTACAGAGAATGATGACATTAAGCCATGTAATGAACTGTCCACTGTCTACTGTAGAGGAAAGACACAGTATACTGTTATCTTAAACCTTTAGACAGTCATTTTTAATGATGTTTAGAAGGATGTTACACAACAATCACTTTATGTAGGGCTGTAACTAACCATGATTTTCATAATCTAACTGTATCTTTCAGGGCCTAAAGTGATATTTTTATAATTCCCCTCTGCTCAGAAATGTGGAATTGTTATTTGTCATTATGGTCTGAATGATTGAGCTTCACTCTGCACAATGATGTAAATGCAGTTTGTCACGTGAAGGCTTTTTTCACATTTTTCTGCTGAAGAGGGAAAGTGTCTCAGTGTTCATCTTAAATCTCAGTGTTCCACATGTATGTAAAGGCAGACTTTGTGGCTTCACAACTAATCTGGAAGCCAATCATTGTCCTGCAGTCTGTTTTACACAAGTGTGATGTGGAGTCTTGTGCACGTATGTATGGACTTTAGGTGATGTAGAGGACTTCTTGTGTCCAGTAGGTTAACTTTAAAAAACAAAAAATATCATTTATTCACAGATTTATTCATTTTTAAGGAGGAGAAAGTGTAAACGGCATTTGAATGACTTTTAATAAGATAACTGTACGTTTTTTGTGGAAAAATGTAACAAATTATTGTTCAAAGCAACGTGTTGAACATTTCTGCAGAGTATTTGAATATCTTATTTCTTCTTTTTAAATAGCCTAGAGCTAAAATAGACTCAGTTTAATAGGATAGAAGCTGAAGAAAACTAGCAAATATTCATACTTGAGAAGCTACAACCAGAGAATGGGGCTTAAATAACCTAAATGAGGTTAAGAGTATAGATGCTTGAATAGTATCTGAGCTGTCACTATAGCAGATAAAACAGCCCAGTGTTTAGTGGCACTAATATACAACTAGTCCCAGTTGAAATATTATTCCAAAAATATTATAACCAAAGTGTCATCCTTAGGGATCAATCA